ATTCCTTTTTGTCTTCTTAGTGGATTGTTTTATGGTTTTGGCCCATGGTTTTTTCTATCACAATTAGAGGTGCTCCAATTGTGATTTTTCCATGTTAAGTCATTGCGTCGATGTGTCTTTGATTGTTTGATTGGGATTGTTATTTACTGGTTAAAATTAATACATAATCACAAACAAATATCTCGCGGTTTTTAGATTTCAGTGTTGAACTTGATCTAAAGAAGGAAAAGTTAAGGTTAGCAACCTCTATAAACTGGAAGCTTGCCAACGCCAAGACCTTGCACTGACAACATTCGAGTAAAGATCAAAACCTCTAAATATTGTTCTTATTTTGGAAACATAATAGGCCTAAAAATATAATATATAAATAAAACATAGACAAAGTTATTTTGTAAAATTATTAACCACTAGTCCATTATTAATATTTTGTTAAAAAATTTAAAACACATTATTAATAATAATTAAGTGTGAAACAAAAATATTAAAAACAGTAATACCATGAACCCATATTTAATTATTCAAAAATTATCATCTTGTGGTTCAGATTTGAAAGTTCTAAAATTCCCGAGATATTGATTCGTAATTATATTTCAATTTTAAATAGTGAATACCAATCCCAATCAAACAATCAATAACAAATCGACAGAATAATTTAATGTGAAAAAAACCATAATTGGAGTGCCTACAATTGTGATAAAAAAAAAATCATGGGCCAAAACCACAAAACAATTCACTAAGAAGACAAAGGAATTGCACATGTATACTCTTAATTACCTAGCGAATCAATGTCTAAATTGAACTGACCTCGATGTGCCTCTCCCACCACCATCTTCAACTCAGAATTGTCTTGCCCAACATTGATATCGAATCCACAATGATAAGCCACTCGGAATCCATCAAAGCTTCAGGCCCAAGTTCTCTAGAATCTACCGAAGAACACTTCTCTCTTTTGTGAATAAAAGAATAAAGACCAACCCCTTGATAAGACCAATATAAAACTTGTAGACCCACCGATCACTTTCAAATCATCAAGGAAACACTTATAAAAATACCCTCCAATATATAAAACCTTGGTAACTTTGCTCTCCCAGAATTTGGATGGCTTAAATCCTAAACACGTCAAACGGCACACTTTATAATAAATAGATTCGTGAAGACCACTGGAGCGCACACTTCACTGCTCGAGTGATGTGAGTAAAAGCGGTGCAAAATATATAGGCCAACCGCTCAAGTGCAACATTCATCGCTCGAGCAGTAAAACTTGCTTTCCAGAAGTTCAGCTTGCTTGCAGAGATGCTGGATGCTCCTATTCACCACTAGAGCACACAAATTACCGTTCGAGCAGTCAAATAATTTAACCACATTTTTTGCTTAGTCAGCTCGATCCCCATAGATGGCCAGCAAAGTGGCAAACACAAGTACAATTCGGGTTAGATTCACATCTAAACAGTCATAGTCTCACTGAAATAAAAAAGAGAATAAAATTATAACTGAAATGAGTTTTGTTAAACGGAATTGTCAATTACAAAAACTTAACAAAATTTATTCGACACATGAATCTTACACTACATAAATTTAATCTCTACTGCACAACTTGGATTGGAAGCCTTATTGTTTATATATATATATATTTAAAAAGTGTCTAGAACCTAAGTCAATGATGAGTAAGAGCAGTTTTGAATTTGATGACTTCGACTTGTGTGTTATTCATTGTAAGGTGACCGTTGGAAATTATTGCCTATCATTAATTCATGAGATGGTTGAGTTGCCCATTTCTTCTTCAATTAGTTCTATTATTCTTTTATTATTTTTTAATGTTAATTTTAGTATTTCTTCTTCTTCTTATATAATCAATTCCATTTACCACTACAACTAAAAAAGTCTATAGTAACGAAAACATATGATGAAAAAATATTTCGTCTCCAAATATACATGTTTTAGTGATGAAAATAAGATTTCGTCTCCAATTGTACTATTTTTAGAGACGAAAACAAAATTTTGTCACCAAATGCTTAAAATAAACAGAATAATAGGTGACGAAAACTTTTTTGGGATTTTTGTTGATAAATCCTGTTTAAAAGTGTTCTAACCCAAGAAGTCTGTGAAGCAATATTTTAACCCACTTAGTCTCATGTATTTATACTTTTATTCCATAAAGTCTTTTTTCTTGATTTACACTATTTTCTTAGACTCTTATGCCTTTATATTTAATATTGATATTTAATGTTGGGGGATGAGAGAGAAGGGAAAGGACCAAGGCATATGAAATTTCATACACAAATTAAATAACATTGATATTATTATTTTATATTATTATATGATGTGAATACATTTTTAATTGATAACACATTAAAAATAATGTGAACAATCTCTCTCATCTGATGTGAACGTTCACACCACCTTTTTGAAAAATTCTCTCTAATCTAATGTAGTGATGTGAACGTTCACAACATATGAACCTTCTTATTTTTAATTGACAACACATTAAAAATAGCGTTCATCATATTTTTAATTGACAACATATTCTTATTCATAACAAGTAGTGATGTGAACGTTCACAACATGTGAACATTCTGTCTCATCTAATGTACTGATGTGAACGTTCACATTCGTATGTTTTAGTATGAATATTCATCTCATGTAATTAACAACACAATAACAAAAATTCATTTTAAATTAATGTGAATATTCACATGATGTAATTGACAACAAAATGATAGAAATTCATTTCAAATTAATGTGAATATAATGACAGTTAACTTCCTAATGCATAGGAACTACCAAAATATAATAAAAATCAATATTAAATATCAACATTAATAGGGGTATGAGAGATTGAGGGTGTTTTGATCTTCTTACATCAAATAGGATCTAATGGAATAGTCAAAAAGAATATGGGTTGGATGGAATAAAACTCTTAGAAAGAGGATTTATCAAAAAAGCTTCCAATTTTTTTCATCTCTAAATTTTATTTTTTGTCATAAAGCAAATTTCCGCCCTTGGAAATTTTGGTGAAAAATGTTAGAGACGAAAAGTTTCGTCACCATTGTAAAAAATTTCAGAGACAAATATAATTTCGTTACTTATAATTTAAGGGGACAAAACGACGCCGTTTTGTCTTCCCAAATCACTCTACTCTCTCACGCTCTTTTTCTCACTCTCTCACCCAGTCTTGTCTTTCTCTCGAGTCTGAGCTTGTGAAACCCTGTTACCAATCTCTTCCTTGCCCTTTCACATGCACACGAGCACTGCCAGAAACCGTCTTTCTCCATTCGAATCGCACCACTAAAAGCCCTCTCTCTCTGTTCGAATCGTACCACCAGAAGCACTCTTCTCTATTCGTTTTGCTTCACTGATGCGGCACCACCGGCACCCTCTGGCCTTTCCTTCCCCACTCCCACTAGCTTCGATTGAATCAACACCACAACTCTCTCTTTCAAATCCAACCAAAATCTCTCTGATCTCTCCATCGATATGTTTCAGGTAATTCAATCTTCTTCTTCACCCCCTTAATTTCTTAATTTCTTCGTTTTTTTTTTCCCCTGAATCAGATCAATCTCTCTTTAGAAGATAGGCTATTTGAATGTCTGCCTGTGTATTTTGATTGTTTGGTTCAATTCCATAGAACAAAAAGGTAGGTATTTATGTATGAGTAACCTGATATATATATATATATATATGTATGTATGTATGCATGTATTGTGGGAATATGTATGCATATATTTCTGTATATGTGAGTAATCATTGGTGGAGCTGCATAACCCTAATCAAAATTGGGATTTTTTTTTCTTTAGATATGTATATTTATGCAAAAGTTTAGGAGTTTCAAAAATTTAAGACAGTGGAATAATTAGAAAAATTAAAATTGGGGTTTTTTTTTTTTGTGATTGAATCTTGGATTTGGAGAGTGATTTGTGGAGGGAAAAGGAAAGTGAATGGAAAAATGAATGAAATATAAGATTAAAATAAAATGAGCCGACTGTATGAACAGTGTCTGAAATTAAAAATGAAAACTGGGAGCTTTGTTGTGTTGTTGGTGTTGCGTGTTTTTTTTTTTCTTTTTTTCCCGCCTTAATTATTACATAAACTATAATAATAGTTTGATTTTTAAATTTGACTTTGATAAAAGGAAAACCCCAATTGTATTATGTGATGTATATGAGGCAACTAACAGATTTAATTATTGTTCTTTTCTTTTTTGTCCTGTCTTCTTGTTGTTATTGTTTATGTATGTATCTTTTGTGTTAATTTAGTGTTTTTGCTTATGAAATTAGTTTATATGATTTTCGTGATACACATTAAAGTTAGTCTTACCAGCTTTTTTATCTTGACATTTTTATCATTGTTTAGATTTCATATTGGAATTGTTGTCTGTACTACTTTCGTTATTTCTTTTGCCATTCAAGGTGAATCGCAATCGTTCATTTCCATACATGCAGATATGTCCTGTTTATTTTCTTTTTTCCATTTTGTAACCACTTTACGCTTTATGCTAAAGGTTAGGTGTGTACTCAATCTTTCCCCTCCCAAACACACATTAATGTGTACTTATTGGGCGTTGTTTTTTTTTATAAGAATTTCAAGTGGGCCTTACAATGTTGGGTTGTTACTTCAACGTTATGTAACATGTGTATGTGGTGTATTTGTTATGACAAAGATGAGTGTGACTTTCAAATGCTTTTTTTTACAATTATGCACGTCAAGAATATATATATCTATACACTACTATATAAGAGGGAGTTTATTATACACTATTCAACGTTATGTAACGTTGTTTTTTTTTTATAAGAATTTCAAGTGGGCCTTACAATGTTGGGTTGTTACTTCAACGTTATGTAACATGTGTATGTGGTGTATTTGTTATGACAAAGATGAGTGTGACTTTCAAATGCTTTTTTTTACAATTATGCACGTCAAGAATATATATATCTATACACTATTATATAAGAGGGAGTTTATTGTGCTATAGTATTTGTGGATTTCTTTTTCAATTTCCCCTTTTGCCCCTTTCATTTGTTGAATTTTCCAAGCCATCTCATGTATTGATTTTCTTAGTACTTATAATTTTGGACTATTTTTTAATTTCATGGCCCAAATTTGCCTGTCATATTAAAGTGTTCATCACATGGCCGCTACCTCTGTTTGGAGCAGAAAGAGCAAAGCATGTCTCCGTCATTTTACACTCTTCCTCTCTTTGGCGGGGATGATGACCTAGACGACAGTGAGATCGCCAGCTTTATTAACAGTGAGACCCATTACCACTTCTATTTCGAATCAAAACCCATGGAAGATGAGGTCCAAGAAAGATCTTGACCGAAGATCTGCATCATCATGGCTTTAGGATCCCGATTGAAGATGGGGTACAAGGAAGATCTCCCTTGAAGATGAACTCTTCCGACAGTTTCACCAACAGAATCGCACGAGGTACTTTCGCTATAGTTTGCCAATTCTAGGCTGAGATCGATTTTCTTTTTTTAATTTAATAATTTGATTCTTTGTAACTCCGTGCTTTTTTAATTTGAGAGAATCTGATATTGAAGTAGTTGATGTTTCTCTTTTAGCTCAACGTAGAAGAACTATGACTATACATCGGTCTTTTAGATTTTTCTTTTACTGGCTTCTGTTTTCTCGACTTCAAGATTGCTCCATTATTTTTTGTAAGGTGTGCTCTTCTCTTCTCTTCTCTTGCCCTCTTTTGATGATTTTGCTAAAATAATTAGACTTCCAGTTCTTCAAATGGCAAGATTTGTTTTGGATTTTCGTTGGTTTTGATTTTTTTAAAAATTATTTGCACGAGGTGAAACTCTCGGTTTTAGGCCTTTTTTGTTTTTTTTTTTTTTGATTTATTTGCAGGGGTCAAGTTCAGAGCATGTCATATTTGAGCTAAAAGCTATTTTCTATTTATTTTTGTGAATCCTATTTTTATTTTTTAACCACATTTTTATTTTGTTTTCTTTTGAAGTTTGTGAACTCCTATGGTTTTAACTATTATCTTTCCAATTCAGATGTTTTTTCCATTTCTATTCACTTCTGCTTTTGTTAATTTTATATGGTGTTTTTTTTTTGGATTTGTGTTTCTTGGTATTTTCCTTTGGGATTGATATTGACACCATAAACCAAGTTATAATAGTAGCTATTCCAATTGAAGAAATCGGTGATGCATACAAAACTACAAATCAAATGTAGCCTTTTAATATGTTTTTTTTTTTTTTTATTTCTTCAACTTTTCAATGTTTTCTTTCAAGTATTTCATATTGTAGCTTTTCAAATTGTATTGTCAATTTTAGGATGAGAGGTTCAACACAAAAGCAATGTGCTAGGGTCAGTAGTATATTCACTTATACTTTTCCCAAATCCTCCTCTACTTCGATGAGAACTTTCTTTGCTTGAAAATGGCATTGTCTTCAATATGTAAGTGAATTGTTTGTTGTATTGTCTAAATGAATCCAATTATTCGATCAACAGGCTTCAAAGGGTATGTTATTTATTAGACAAGGGATCTCTCTTTTCTATCAACAAAAACAAACACCACTCCATCTTCTTTCTCACAAAGAAAAATGGACTTGCATAGATTAGCTAAATTCCCTCTCCTCATCACTTCTTGACTCCTATGTAATTCTATCTCATTCCTCTAATTATTTCATGTGTTGATTTTATTCTTTTTTTATTTTTTTAACTTTGACATTATAGAAATCCATCTAACATGTTAATTTGCTTATTGTTCATTTTAATACATAGTGGTTATGTCAATGAGCTCTTCTGAAGCAGTTATGCACAAATGCACAACCTAGTAACACTTTTTAAATTAATATAGTTTACAATTAGATGTTATTTTATATAAGGATCAAGGTAACGGTCAATGTTAATACTCCAATTTTAATTCATATGTTTAATGCTCTTTTTTTTTTCACAATGATGCAACTATTTTCTATTTTAAGAATGTTGAAGAAGAAAAATCATCAAATCTCACTCCTACTTGACCATCTAGATTATTTGGACTTTTTGTTCAACTCTATAAAAGCTGCATTGCTGATTTTTTATTTCTATTTCATTGCTAACAAAATCATGGGTAAACAAAGAACTTGAAATGTGTTTTACATAAAGTCATATCATTTGAAATGTGGTTTACATATTTATTCATAGTGTAGATTTCTACATAAGCACGCATGTATTATGCATGTGTTAGTCATAGATACATTACTTATGCTTATACATTTCTTTGTATTGTTTGGTTTGCAGAACAACATAAATTGAGGGATGATACATGGATGGAGCAAACAAAACTGATTTTCTTCTATCAAGGAAAACTTTTAGCTAAAAGTGCAACCAAAATAAAGCACGGGTTTACAAAATTTCTGCCATGATTTTTCTTCTTCTTCTTCTAAAAATTCCCACTTCCTCAAGCTTATAGATTGAATCTAGTTCACCTCATTATTGATTTGGAACATATGATATTGAGAAGGAAATGACTGTGATAGAAACCTTGGCATTTTCAACGATTTCTTTTAGAACCTTGGGCAAGTCTGGTTTGCTGCTCTGTTGAGTGAAAAGAGTACATACTGTAGCTGTGTATATGCTGCTGCAATCTGTGTATATGTTGTGGGTTGATGGGTTTTACCTTACGTATTGCTTTGGTTTTTGTTGAGGGTTGAGTGACAATAGACGTGGCTCCCCATTGGAACAAACACGTGACTCTTAGTTTGAAAACTACTTTGAATTATGAATTTCTCCAACACTTAAGCTCGAAAATAGGCCATTGAGGGACAAAATAATGAAATATGAACAAGGCCCGAAAAACATCATGAACACCTTGAGAGGGACCAATGTAAATTATGAAAACTTATAATTTAATTGAGTGAGATAATATTTATTTTTAATCATACCTTCCAAATAAGTATGATTATATATTTTATTATTCAAAGTGTTGACATCACAATTTTTTTAGTTCCACGATGGTTTGTGAAGAAAATTCATGAGAAAATATGGTTCTTGAATCATTTTTTTTTTTTTTTAATCTTTTAGAAATTAAAATATTAGTATGATTGATGTATACATCTTATGACAGGACTAGAAAAGCCCCTCATGCTTCATAAGTTGTTGTTATTGTTATGCTTCTAATTATGCCCAAAGCTCCTCATGTTTGGTATGATGCTTCAGGTTGAATCCTCCAAATATTATTACAATAAGTAGGTTTACAATTCAATGATTTATAAGTTCATTTATAAGGTATATATTTTGAATTTACCCTCCTATACTTTTATATTGTGTTTTCATGTTTCAGTATAATTTGAAAATCAAACCAAACATGAAATTTGAAAATCAAATTTGAACACCATAGGTAAGTAGTGTTTTGTTCTTTCCCATCTTCTGTAATTCATGTTTTGTAACGCCCTCAAAATAATACATAAAACTCATCTCTTTAGACATGCATTGATACAAAGAAACCAACCATCTTTCCATTAATCTGAATAGTTCTTATAAAAGTATTACATGTTAACAACAAAAGCAAATGCCCTACGGGCTTACAACTTTCCAAGTTAACACTTGGTTACAAAAAGAAGAGTACTAACTTAATACATATTAAGTCCTTGGCTTGAATTTACATGTAATACAACAAAAGAAAGCAAATAACAAGCAGTCAGCCTGCCTCTAGCTTCCCAAGCTATGTCCTTGGAGGTGGCATGCTACCTGTACCTGAAAATGATGTCCCATAAAGGGTGAGTCACAGCCCAGTAGAAATACACTAAACCAGCCATGAACAATGACTAAAAGATTAGCAGTTGATAGATGGTCAACACAGATACATCCACATATATCACATTTCTATTTCATGACATTAAGTCCATGTTACATTTCATTTCTCATTTCTTTTCAACTTTGAGTTTGAAAACAAGGCTCAAAACTTTGCCAAATAACTTGATGAGAATAAGACTCATCTTAAAAACACTTTCGAAATTTATGATGGATACATATTTTGATGTTGTATCAATAACACAAAAGCCACTCACATACTATACGAACGATACACATTGTGGTGCTGTATCAACATGACATAGAAACACTTCTATAATTCACAATTTGATAACGATGTACATTTTAGTGCTATATCAAATCAAACAAACACTTCTAATTCGCAGCCTGATACACATTGTAGTGCTGTATCATTGTCACAAGATTCGGTTTAGAGGTTCAGCTCCTTTCTTCCAATAAACCGTTGAGTACATCACCCATCTCCTCCCACACAATGCAATGTATAGAAACAATTATCATATACAAATTAAATCAATCAATACACATTTGAGTGCTGTATTGTACCAACCACCATATTCAATGGCTTACTCAATTGATTAGTTTTAGTTTGCCTAATCATCATGCATTGTCTACAACAATCAAGACTATCCTCCACCGATAGCCCAAAGCAGTTATTTCTATACTGAAAATAAATGCACCAAATGGATATATAATCAACATTTCAACGTTCTTAATTTAATTCTTCTTTTCTTCAAATTAATTATACCAATTAATTTATCAATGTAATTAGAGCATTACCCATAATTAACATCACAACCCTAAGGTTCCATTTTCGCCAATAAACCAATATTGATCTCATTTCTCTATGCCAAATATGCATATAAGTTTATATAAACAAAATCTTAACTTTTGTAAAATTACATAAAGGCCCAAACTTTCTCAAAATTACCCAACAACCCCCAACTCATCAAAATATTAAAATTCAAAGACAAAACTCATGAGAAGGAGTAGGATATCCCTACCTCGAAGTTAGAGCTCAAACAGGGAAGTTGAAGAAAACCAAAATGCTCCAAACTCAAAGATCCACGGATCAAAATGGAGCCCTCGACGATCTACACACTTTTTACAAAGGCCGGAGGATAGTGAGACACTCTAACTAGATCAAACCCTAGAGAGAAGGGAGTTTCTAGAGAGAGAAGCTCTCAAAATATCTTTTTAGAAAGTAAGAGAGAGAGAGAATGTAAAAAGTGATTTTAAAATGCCCAGCTACCGACTGATATACGACATTCCCGCTCGAGCGGAGAACACAACGCTCGAGCGTCAAGAACAAAAAACTAGGTACGCTCGAGCGCAAGAAGGCCCGCTCGAGCTCCAAGACACAAGAATAAAGTACATCCGCTCGAGCGCGAAAACCAGTCCGCTCGAGCGTAGATTTTCCCCTCCCAGAACTTACACCAAAAAGTACTACCCGCTCGAGCGCCAGAATACCCACTCGCTCGAGCGTAAAAATCACACCTGCAGAAGTTTTGCAGGGGCACGAAATACTGGGAGTGTGCAATCTCCGCTCGAGCGCAACAAGGCCCGCTCGAGCGGAACGACCAAAAACCTGGCAACAAAATTTTAGACCAAGGTTCAACCCACCTGTTCGAAACATGCCCAACACATCCTAAAACTCAAACAAATGGAATTAAAGGACGACAACAAGATAGATACAACTACCAACTCCACGGAACCGAGTCCGGAATACAACAGAACAATAAAGGGACAACCGAGGTCGCTATATGTTTGATCTAAAAGCCTATTGGCTTCACTAAAATTGCAAGTGCAATCTTTTTTTGATTTTAGGATTTTTGTGGGTTAATTAATGACTTCATTTTCATATCAAACAACGCTTATGTTAGGTAATAGATTCTTCTCATGGAGAAGGAAATTTTAGGAAAGCTGGAATGGTATTAAAATTTCCTACACTACATCTTTCTCATTTCGATTTATTTTTTTAGAACTTTTTATAGGGTTAATGTGTTAATGAATGGCCATGAAATGCATAAGTTTGTACTGTAGAGAACTGCTGCATATAATAGTCAACATGATTTTCATATTGGGGAAATGACTGTAAGAGAAACCTTGTCATTTTCAATGAGATGCCAAGGGGTCAAATCCCCTTATGGTTGATAAAAAGATTGGTTTAGTTTTATTTTCTTTTGTTTACATATGCTCAAACCATGCGCACCGATGACTTATTACAGGTTAAGTATGTTAATTATTCTTTTCAAACATTTGCAGATATATTAGCAGAGTTACACAGGAGAGAGAAAGAAGCAAATATTAAACCTGATCCTGATATTGAAATCTTCATGAATGTAACAAACGAGTGCTACCAACTTTGAAGAATTTCCTAACAAATGATGTTTTGTGTTGATACTAGTTGTTTTCATAAACGATTGTATGAGTTCTCTTCTTATAACTTGAATGATAATAATAACATAGATAAAGCAAGAAATGTTTGAATTTGAATTCACTGGGTTCTGTTAAAAATGGAGTTTATAGTGTGCAGTTTCATCTTTATGTGAATTTTATGTTCCAAAATTATTAGTGTAGTTAAGGTGTTCTCTTCAACATTCAGACGCATTTCTGTTTTTAGATTCTTTTAAGTCCCCTTGGATTGAAGATTTTGTTGAAAACATGGGATCACTAAACTTCTGAATGTGGTGTTTATGCATGAAGTTAAGCTGTAGAAAAAGTATTGCGGTTTGAAAACCAAGTAGAAAAATGCATTTTTTCAATACTTAGGCTTAAAAATAGGTCATCGGGTGTCAAAATCATGAAACACCAATGAGAAGGCTATAAGAACACCCCGAACATCTCAAGAGGAACCAATGTAACTTGTGGAACTAGCACAAGACTCCCAGTTTGAAAATTAAGTAGAAAAATGCACTTTTCCAACACTTAGGCTTGAAAATAGGCCATTGGCGGCCAAAATCATGGAACACCCACAAGAAGGCCATGGGAACACTCCAAACACCTCGAGAGGAACCAACGTAACTTGTGAAAACTTACAGAACTAGCAATGAATTCCCGGTTTGAAAACTAAGTAGAAAAATACACTTTTTCCAACACTTAAGCTTGAAAATAGGCTATCAGGGAGCCAAACTCGTAAAATAGCCACGAGTAGGCCAGGGGAACACCTCAAACAACTCGGGAGGGACCAATGTAAATTGTGAAAACTTATGGAACTAGCACGGGACTCCCTGTTTGCAAACTAAGTAGAAAAATGCACTTTTCAACACTTAGGCTTGAAAATATGCCATCAGGCTCTAAAATCGTGAAGCAACCATAATAAGGCCCGAGGAACACCTCGAATACCTTATGAGGGACCGATGTAAGTTGTAAAAACTTATGAAACTAGCACGAGACTCCTTATTTGAAAACTAAGTAGAAAAATGCACTTTTCCAACACTTAGGCTTGAAAATAGGTCTTCAAAGCCCAAAATCATGAAACAGCAACGAGAAGGACTGGGAAACACCCCAAACACCTAGGGAGGGACCAATGTAAATTGTGGAAACTTATGGAACTAGCACGGGGACTCCCGGCTTGAAAACTAAGTCAAAAAATACACTTTTTCCAACACTTAGGCTTGAAAATAGGCCATTGGGGGCCAAAATCGTGAAACAACCACGAGAAGGCCCAGAAAACACCCTGAACACCTCGGGAGGGACCAATGTAAGTTTTGAAAACTTATTGAACTAGCACGGGACTTCTGGTTTGAAAACTAAGTCAAAAAATGCACTTTTCAAAAAATGTTAAATTGTATATTTTATCGATAAGATAGTAATTGTCTTCCTCTTTTTTCTTTTTTTGTTTTTTGGTTTT